CGCGAATTATGGAGCTATTGTTCCAATCTCGGTTTCCTTCATTACCCCCAGACTTAGAATGTGTAGGTCTCTGCTTTGCACCACGCACAGCTACTATTCGTGTCCCACACAGGTAGAGCTTTATCTGTACGACTTGACTTTTCAACAATCACAATTTTACCACTATTCGCAATAATTCGAATTGTGACAGAGCCATTCGAGTGGTGTGTGATTTTCGAGCACAATGGATTTTCGTCTCATTTTCCTAAACTCTCCGTAAAATTAGAGCAGTATTAGATCTATAATCTTTGAGTTAGCGTGAAGAGAAACATATTGACATAATAACGGTCATATTCATAATGTAGTAGGCTACCTGGAAGAAGGGAAACAGATAGACAGAAACAACTGAGGGGAAGAAAAAAGTAGGAGCTTCAAGTTGCATCCCCCCAGCCACCCATATTATTATATCTAAAATAATTGAGACAATAATTATCAATAAAAGAAATAGTTTGTGCTTGATGAGTTCGTTACACAGTGATAAGAGAGGCCAACAAAGGTATCAAATCATGAGTATAAGTACATATTAATGTAAGAAAAAAGAACCCGCGCCTCCTTCCCCCCCTGACAAAAACAAACAAACAAATAAACAAACATACATACACAATACCCCCCGGGGCAATGCCACTGACTGTAATGTCTTAAGGACATTCCCAAAGGGGGGACACTTCTCGTTCATGTGCAGTAGAAAATGAGCTGATTCATGTCACGCTCATAACTGTGCCTGGTCTACAACAGGGAACTGCTGCTTTTTCTTTCCTAACCCTTACTATTGTCATTTTCCTCTACTTCTTTTGTATGTTTGTCACTCTCTTGTGACCTGCTATTTTCGGGGTGCATTGATAGTTGAAGCAGACCTTGTGCTGTTGAAGCTAGAGAGGTGGGCAGAGTGGCTCTGATTCCCTGTAAAGACTTCTCTGTTGACACCCACCCCTTGGCGCTATTATGACCTTATGCAGTTGCGAGTGCCGTAAAACCCTCTACTATAATAAAATAATAATAATAATGAAAACATACACAATAATTCGCGCACACGGTATTCGAATAGGGCGACTAGTGACTTTAAACCTCGAAGCTTCGAACTTGCTTCGTTTTAATCAAACTCGCCTCAGCTACACAGTGTCGCAGGTGCAACGCGAGGCAAATCCGCGACAATAATGAATATATTTTATGTGGATCCAACTAGGTAAATGACCGTGTAAGCCTACATAGGCCTCTACACACGCATGGGTCATAATCCAGAGTCTTTATAATACCGGCTCGCATAGCCTGGGGCGACTTACGGCTCTTTTAGCTTAGCAGACTGCTGTTCAAAGGTATTACGTGTACATAATATGTATTACGAAAGTGTGTGCCTTGTGTTCTCGGTGTGCAACAACTCTGATTATAAGTAATGATAATAATAATATGATAATGATGATAATAATAATAATAACAATGATGATAATACTACTACTACTACTACTACTACTACTACTACTACTACTACTACTACTACT